GCCTCAGAGCGGGGCGCGCGTGAACGCACGTGTGTTCTTGACGCCACAGAGCGGGACACGCGTGAAAACACGCGGGCTCCTAACGGCCCAAAGCAAGACAAACGCGACAACAAATGTATCCGAACGCCCCATTGCAGGATTAGCGTGACAACACAAAAGGGTTCATTTTGAACACACATGGTTCCCAACGCCCCAGAGCGAGACAAACATGGAACTACGTGCGTGCATAACGCTTCAGAGCGGGACAAGCATGAAACCACGTGGGTCCCTAACGCCCCAAAGCGGGACAAGCGTGAAAACACGTGGGTCCTTATGCCCCATGGCGGGACACGCATGAAACCACGTGGGTTCCAAACGTCCCATGAAGAGACAAACTGGAAAACACGAGTGTTCCTTACGCCCCAGAGCCGGAACAGCGTGAAAACGCATGGGGTCCTAATACCCCAGAGCGGGGCAAGCGGGAAAACACGTGGGTTCCTGATGCCCCGGAGCGGGACAGGTGTGAGTGAAAACGTATGGGCCCCTAGCGCCGCAGAGCGGGACAAGCGCGAATACGCATCGTTTCCTCAAGGTTCCTGGGGGCCCCAGGAGGCGTCCCAGGAGGCCCGTCTCAGAACGATTCCAGTTATTACTCATCCGGTGCTGGTTCATTGATTCAGTTCTTGCTATTGTGCCTCTCCGTTTGGGGTCGTGTTAAATGTCCTCCCTGTGTGGCCTGGACACGCACGTGAAAACACGTGGTGTCCTACCGCCCTGGGGCGGGAGAAGCGCGGCGACACGTGGGTTCCTAACGTCCCAGAGGAGCGGGACACGCGTGAGAACACGTGGGTTTCTAACGCCCCAGAACGGGACAAGCGTGAAACCACGTGGGCTCTTGACGCCCCAGAGCGGGGCAAGCGTGAGAGCATGTGGGTTCCTAGCGCCCCATGGCGGGACAAGCATCCGCGTCGCAGCCCTGTCGCAGCCCCGAGGGCGCATCTCGATCGTGTGCTCACGTGTCCCACGTCCCACGAGCTGTCACGCGCATGGTCCTAGCGCTGGGGGCCAGCATCATTCATATTGTTATGTTTACCCCAGAGAAGCGGGAGGAGCTTGTCTTCAGCGGAATATATCATCGGCCGGCGGAATGGGCGAAGCCCTTCCTGGCTTATTTTACGCATGCTTCTCCCTCTCCTCCATCATCCTCCATCTCATCATCGATCTTCGACGCACAACACGGTCACGGCCCCCGGGGGCCCGCCAAATTCAATCGCTTCATCGCTTCGTTCCGTTCGCCGGCCCATATCGAAGACGCCTACGGCGAATCACCGCCGCCCCCTTGCCTTTTGGAATCGCCCATGTGGCCGAGCTTTGTGGCAAGAGCTCTGCCGAGCTATCGGACCATGTGTTCCCCCAGTCGTTGTGGAAGCCCTCCGAGGAACTTGGGGGGGTAGGGAAAGGGAAGGAGGAGGAGGAGGAGGAGGAGGAGGAGGAGGTGGAGCAGAAAGAGGAGTGGGACGAGGAGGCCTCATGTGAGCCTGTTAGGGCACTCTTGGGGCCTCTTGGGAACTTCCTGCGGGCCTCGTGGGGGCCTCCTTGGGCCTCTTGGGGGCGTTTTGGGGCGTTTGGGGTCTTCTTGGGGGCCTCTTGGTCGTCTTAGGGCTTTCCTGGCCCGTCGGACGCCGTCTTTGGGGCCTCTCTGAACCGACTTAGGGCCCTCCTGGGGCGCTTCGGGCCCCCCCTGGAGGCCATCTTGGACGCCTTGAAGGCCTCTTGGGCCGTCCTGTGGCCCTCTTGGGGTCGTCTTGGAGGCCTCTTGGGCCGTTCTGGGGCCATCTTGGAGAACTCTTGGGCGATCTTGAGGCGATCTCTAGGGGCTCTTGGGCCTTCTCGGGCCGTCGGAAGGCAACAGAAAAACACAGGTTGAAATTATTAGAAGCATCCAGGACAATCTATGACGCTGGCCTCTTCGGGCCTTCCTGGAGGCCCTCTTGCGCGCCTCTTGGGCCTCTCAGAGGCCTCCGGGGCCGTCGTGGGCCAACTTGGGCTGTCGTGGGCCAACTGGGGCGGACTTGGGAGGCATCTTGGACCCTCGTGGGCGAGCGTGGGGCCCTCTCGGGGCCGTCCTGGAGGCTTCTTTTGGCCGTCATGTGGGGGTCACCTTGGAGGCCGTTGGTCACCACCCACCAAACCACCCCAACCCAACCAGAAGGCCTCAAATTGACCTCCATTTCCAGTGGGGGGGGGGTCGGGGAACATCGAGAAAACACATATGGAACCCGTACCCCCCCCAACCCGAAATTCGGGTCTTCGGGTTGGGTTGGGGTGGCCTGGTAGGTAGTCAGTTGGGGCCGGTTCCAGGCTCGAATCGCCCCCCTGCGTTTTTGACTTTTTTTTCGGGGGGGGGGGGGTGCTGTTCCCTTTCGTGTTCTTTTTGGTTTGGGCGCGTCGCTCGATGTTCTTCGTTGGGGGGGGGAGAGTCGAGCTCTCGGAGTGATCTGTCTGCATCGTTTCGGATTCGCTCATTCGCGAACCTCGCTGTGCGAAGCTCGCTGAGTTGGCCGCGTGGTGCGGACCGCATGGCGGGGTGGGGGTCCTCCCTGGGGCCATCTTGGGGCGATCCTGGGGGCCGTCTCGGGCCGTCAGAAGGCCGACAGGCAAATGGCAGAACCTTTCCAAAACCTAAGGAAAGTCAATGGTGTTGGCCTCTCTGGGTCCTCCTGGAGGACCTCTTGGAGGCATCTTGGGCCGTCCTGGAGGCCTCGTAGCGGTCACTTGGGCCGTCTTCGGCCGTCTTGGAGTCTTCTCGGGCGGACTTGGAGGTACCTTGGACCTTCTTGGGCCGTCTTGGAGGCCATCTTGGACCCTCTGGGGCCGTCTTGGAGGCCATCTTGTTCCATCTTCGGCGAACTTGAGTGCACTCTTGGGGCCGTCTCGGGGGCATCCTGGGCCGTTCTGGAGCCATCTTTGAGCCGCAAGGGCCATCTGGAGGCGATGCCGAGGGCATCTGAGGCCGTCTTGGAACGCTCGAAGACCGAACAGAAGCAAATGTCAAGTCCATTGAAAAACCTAACGAGCATCCATGGTTCTGGCCTCTTCGGACCTCCTGGAGGACCTCTTGGAGGCCTCTCGTGGGCCTCTTGGGCCGTCTGCCGTCATCTTGAGGTCATCTTGGGCTGTTTTTGAGGCTTCTCGGGCAGATCTGGGGGCATCGTGGACGCACTCGGGCCGTCGTGGAGGCCAAGTTGGACCATCTTGGCCAAACCTGGAAGTCCATCTTGGCCCTTCTTGGAGGCCATGTTGGAGCCATCTGGAGCGGGTCCAACGTTGGCACCCACCCACCTCTGGGCAAAGCCTTCTGGGTGCCCGGCGCGCCGAGCCCAGAGCCCCAGGGGGAATTTGTTTTTTGGAAGCAGCCGGCACCAGGCCGTACAGAGTGGGGCCCAGCACGCTGGGCACCCCTGTACTCCAAATCCCTTATTAATCGACCCCCCCCTAAAGAACCGGACCCCCCTCCAAATGCGACCCAATATTCCGGACCCCCCTCTTCGACGGGGCGCCTTACTAAACTGGACCCCCTAAGCTCCAATCCAAAGAAAGCGCCCTAATAAATCGGACCCCCCCAGTTACCAAAAAGGCGCCTTAAAAAACCGGACCCGGGGGACGATTAATAAGGGATTTGGAGTAGTCGGGAGACTCTCCATGGGATCCCCAGGGGATCCTATGGGATCCCCCCCCTGGGACCCTATCCCCCCATGGGATCCCCCCCCCCATGAAGAGTCTCCCGATGTAGCCAGCCAACAGGGGAGCGGCGGATCCGTACCGCCACCGTGCCTGGGTGGTGGCTCTGAGGCGTCTTGGATGTTCGTCGGGATCGTTGGGCCCGGACGGCCCTGGGGCCGTCTTGGCTCGGTCCTGGGGGCCTCTTGGCCGTCCGGGAGCGTCGGAAGCTCGAGAAGTATAATCACTTGAAAACGCGCTACCCATATGAAAATCTATGATGTGGGCCTTTTCGGGGCCTTCTTGGGAAGGTTCTTGGAGGCCTCTTGGGACGTCTTGGGCGTTTGTTCGGCCGACTGGAGGCCATCTTGGGTGTCTTAGACCGATCATTCGGCCATCCTGGTTGTCTTAGACCGATCATTCAGTGATTCAGGGCCCTCTTGGATTGTCTTGGGGGGGCTCAGACGACCGCCACGGGGAGTTCCGGCATCCTTGAGGGGAAATTGCCAGGACTGTCCTGGCCATCTTCGTCTCTGGACACCCAGGGGCGGCCCCGCCCGCGCGAACTAGAAGCGTTTTAAATATTTTACCAAAGATCTTAGCACGCCTCTGGCCGTTGGGCTGGCGAATTCTTCCCCCTCTTTCTTCCTACTGAGTCGGATAGAGGACATCCTTCGGAACGTTCAGCCCTCATTCTCCTCCCCCTCGTCTCCCTGCTCCCCCCTCCCGCATCCCCCTCCTCCCCTACATCTCTCGCCGTCCTCTCCTGATCCTCTGAATCTTCCTCCTCGTTCCCCTCCCATGGACGATCGGAGGAGGAGGAGGAGGAAGAGGAGGAGGAGGAGGAGGAGGATGAGGAGGAGGAGGAGTAGGGGGAGGAGGAGGAGGAGGAGGAGGAGGAGGAGGAGGAGCAGGAGGAGGAGGAGGAGGAAGAGGAGGCAGAGGAGGGGGGAGGAGAGGAACGAAGAGGATTCAGAAACGGGCGCACGACGATGGGCCATCGTCCTGCGCCCGTCTCTATCCCGCTCTTCCTTCCACTCCCCATCCTCGCCATCCCTGCTCTCCCCGCCGCCCCCCCACACTTCCCGAAGACATGCGAGGATAATGCATTTTTTTTAGTACGCGGCCCCAGAGGTCCCGACACTTTCCCCAGGTGTAGCTTCTCGTCCCAGATCCAGTGCTGATGGACCCAGGGCCCGACAAGAGACTCAGGAGGCCGAAATCGGCAGAACGCCCAGATCGAAGAACATTTCATCGTCGGAGAGTTGGGTGCTCGCCCCCCTGCGCCCGCCTCCCGACAG